AGGTTGTGGATCTTCCCAAGGGTTGGGGAGCTTCCTAAAGGTTGTGGATCTTCCCAAGGGTTGTGGATCTTCCTAAAGGTTGTGGATCTTCCCAAGGGTTGTGGATCTTCCCAAGGGTTGTGGATCTTCCCAAAGGTTGTGGATCTTCCCAAGGGTTATGGGTCTTCCTAAAGGTTGTGGGTCTTCCCAAGGGTTGTGGATCTTCCCAAAAGTTGAGGATCTTCCCAAGGGTTGTGGATCTTCCCAAGGGTTGTGGATCTTCCCAAGGGTTGAGGACCTTCCCAAAAGTTGAGGATCTTCCCAAGGGTTGGGGATCTTCCCAAGGGTTGTGGATCTTCCTAAAGGTCGTGGATCTTCCCAAGGGTTGTGGATCCTCCCAAGGGTTGTGGATCTTCCCAAAGGTCATGGATCCTCCCAAGGATTGTAGATGTTCCCAAAGGTTATGGCTCTTCCCAAGGGCTGTGGATCTCCCCAGGTGTTGCACACTTTCTTCAGTGCTGTGCACCGTTCCCAGGGTTGTGTATGAGTGGGAAAAACATGGGAGGGATGCAGACCGGGAACTGAGAAGGACCGAGGAAGGACTTTTGGGGACCCGTCATCCCCGTGTCACTAACACCCCTCTCCCTTCCAGTGCCCAGCACCACCTGATGCCGACATCCCACAAGACTTGCCGGAATCCCGCTCCTGCCCCAGCACTCCCACCCCGCCATGTGGAGCTGTGACCCCACCGCCCAGCATTCCCCAAGCCATTCTCCGCTCCACCCGTCCGTCCGTCCCTCGCCATGAGCGATGCTGCACGGTTTCCCTGCGTTGGGGCACGTAGCTGAGGGATGGCCTCGTTGGACCTGCCCTACAGGTGTCCGCGGTGCGGGGAGCACAAGCGTTTCCGCAGCCTCTCCTCGCTGCGGGCACACCTGGAGTACAACCACACCTATGAAACCCTCTACGTCCTCTCCAAGACCAACAGCATCTGCGATGCCGCCGTCTTCCCGCTGGCCGCCGACGGGGCCTTGTTGACACCGGCTGCCCGGCGGGATTACTTTGAGAGCACCTCTTTCCAAGGCAAAGAGCAGCGCTTCTCCTGCGACCTCGTCCCCGCCGAAGAGTTGGAGCCGGCTCCATCTTCCTCCCCTTCGCCTCGTTATGTCCACGAGATTGAGATCCCACTGACTGAGATCTTCACCCGGGGCAAGGCTGTGGCTCCAGCCCCAACGCCGCCAGCCGCTATGGATGCAGCCTACGAGGAAGGCTTGGCTCGCTTGAAGATCCGCGCCTTCGAGAAGCTGGAGGTGGACAAGAGGCTGGAGAAGCTGACGGAGGAGGTGGAGCAGAAGATCGCCTCGCAGGTCGGCCGGCTCCAGGTGGAGTTGGATCGCAAGAGCTCGGAGCTGGAGAAAGCCAAGCAGGAGAGCCTGAGGCTCAGCCGGGAGAAGCAGGAGCTGGAGGACCGTGCATCCGAGCTGTCCCGCCAGGTGGATGTCAGCGTGGAGATGCTGGCCTCGCTCAAGCAGGACCTGGTGCAGAAGGAGCAGGAGCTCACCCGCAAGCAGCAGTGAGTGCTTTGTTCCTTCTCCGTGCTGTGGGGTGGGAGGCAATGAGTCCTGGTGGAGAGCTGCAAGGAGCCCAATGCTGTCACCAAACAACGCTCATTAGCACCATCCCTCGTTAGCGTTTGCATCTTCCTCCACACGTGGAGGAAGTGTCCATATAAATCTGAGCTCCTCCATCTTCATGTCCAAGCTCTTACGAGAGATTGTGTCCAAAGCCACCAGAGTCCCATGGCCAAACTGGGGATGCTTATGGCCATCCTGCTGGGGATGCTTGTGGCCACACGGTAGTGCCCACGCTGTTCCAATGGGTGTCCCCCAGACCAGGGCTGGTTCACCCCTTTGGCCCCACAGCTGAGTCATGCTTATGCTCATGGTTATAAAGATGAAGAGGACACCTCGGCCATGCCTGATTCAGGATTGTTCTCCCAGAAGGAGTGGTGTAACCTGAGTAGTAATACCTCAACTCGCTGTTTAAGACTGTGGCATTGCCCTCTTCATTTTCATCCCATGTTGCCCATTCAAACCCCTCTTTCCACTCCAGTGCTGTTCCAGGGATTCCCCCAGCCAAGCTTGGGATCCTTTTGTCCATCAGAGTTTATCACGTAAACAGGACCTTGTTAAAAAGAGTTTCTTAGCAATGCTGGAGGTCGTGGCAGTGCCTACAAAGTCAGTGAGGATCAGGTTAATGGAGGCAGTCACAGTTGTGCTGAACTGGGAGCACTGGTGGGATTCCTCAAGGACTTGTCTTGGTCTTCAGTGTCTTTTACACATTCATGAATGATTTGGACTCCAAAATAATGACTGTGGGTAGGAAACAGTGCTCATGTCCATGGGATTTGCTAGTGTTAGGCATGGTCCTGGGGTGCAGAGCAGGATGATGCCAGGTGCTGGATAAGGACAATAACTCTTGGTTGGGAGGTGGATGCGTGCAGAGCAGGAGATTCAGGGGCTGCCATCAGCTGCCCCATGAGTGTTGTCCAGGGGCATTTCTGGGGTGGGCAGCAGAAGGACAAGAGCCAATGGCATGGACAACTGAGCAGGGCCTGGAGGGATGTGAAGCAGATGGAGTAGGCCGATGGTTCAGATGGGGCTTATTTGGTTCATGCACACTGTTGCCCCCTAAGAACCTAGTTATGCACCAAAGACACCTCTTGGATTTGCGTCCCCTTAGAGAAGTCCTCCTGCCCATCCACTATCTCATAGGTCTTCTATGACCACAAGATCCCCCTGGCTTAAATGACTTATTTCCAGGAGGATCAGCTAGGAGGTAGGAAGCTTGTAGCACCCAGTGACATCCCAGAGCCCTCGCTGCAGGCTGGTGACATTTATTGCTGGCAGCCTGTTTGCACCTCAGCTCTGCTGGCTTTGCTGAGGGTGTTTTTCCACCCGTTCCATGGGAATGAGAGATGCAAGAGATAGCCATCAGCATCTCCTTACAGCACCAGCCACGTGCCAGCACCCTATTTGCTCTCCAAAGCTGTGGGGCACCTTGCCAGGAGCCTTCCCAAATTATTGCTGGTGAGCTCACTCTGCAAGCAGCAGGATTAGGGACAATTAATTGGTCATCAAACGGCAGTTAATAATCAATGGCACGAATTACATCTCTATGGGCTGCCTCCTTCTCTTCTTCCTCTTCGTCCTCCGGTTCAGCTCAGTGCACGAGTGTGGCCGGGTGTATTTCTGTTTCCATGGTGCTTCTGCATGCAAGTGTGGCTCTGCGTGTGTGTGTGTGGGTGTGCTCAGCAGCTGTGCATGCCTGAGTGTGCAAACGTGCATTTATGGGGCACATGCATTTGCAGGGATGTGATGGCAGTGTGTTTGATGCATGTGTTTATAGGACTGAAGCAGCACCTCAGCAGGGCAAACCTCATTTGCCTGAGTCTGTCCATTGGCTCAAGGCTCCCAAGCTCCTTCTAATTAACACATTAACGACAGTGCCTCTGAGGCTCTGTACCCGCTGGGCATACCAGGGTATAAAGCTGAGCAGGATTCAGACTGCCCATAAGGCTTTTTCCTTAAGTCTGCCCTTCTCACACGAGGCAGAGTGCTTTTCTCCATCATCATGCTACGCCGTCACCATCCATGCTACACTGTCACCATTCTTCTCCCTCTGCTCCATCGCATGCCTGGCCCCAGTCCTGGCAACGGGGGCTTAGGCTGGGCTGTGCATCCCAACAGAGGCATTGGAGATGCTGCATCCTCCAAAATGAGGCGGTCACATTCATCCTGCATGCTAGAGCACCTCCTGCTGCCCTGTATGCCCGAATTAGCCCCAGACCAGGCTGGATTCAAGGCACATGGGCATCCCTGGCCAGTCGCATGATGGAAACGGAGTGGGGTTGAGTGGAAGAAGACGCACTGAGTGGGGATGAGTGTCACTCGCTGTCCCTCTCTCACAGGGAGGTGCTGCAGATCGACCAGTTCCTGAAGGAGACGGCCGCCCGCGAGGCCAACGCCAAGGTGCGCCTGCAGCACTTCATTGAGGAGCTGCTGGATCGGGCAGACCGGGCTGAGAAGCAGCTTCAGATCATCAGCAGCAGCTGTGGAACGACTCCGAACGGCAGTTTGGGACGCTGCGGAACGCCAGGCGCTAAGGCTGCCGGCCGAGCGGTACCCACACGGGCACAGGCACGACCATGTGGCTTCTCTGGTTCTGGATCTAACAGGGTTCAGTGGGGAGGGATGGGGGCACCCGTGGGGATAGGGGGGATTCATTAATGGTCTTGGTTGGTGTCCGGTTGCTACATGCAGTGAACACAGGCAAGGCACGGGGGATGATGCCGGAGATGCACTTGGGACAGCCCAGAACATTGGGTGGGAGGTGACAGCTTCAACCAGGGGAACTTCAGGTTAGGTACTAGGAGAAATTTCTTCTCTGAATGAGTGGTGGGTTAGGATCAGGGTTAATGACAGGCTGCCTAGGGAGGTGGGAGAGTCACTGTCTCTGGAGGTATTCCAGAACCGTGGAGATGTGGCATTGAGGGACGTGGTTAGTGGGCATAATGGGGATGGGCTGGAGCCAGACTTGATCTTAGAGCTCTTTTCCAACATTAATGACTCCGTGAGCCTAAGTCCACCTGCATTTCTCACATCTGATGTATTTCTCCATGTTAGCTCCTTTTCTCATCTATCCCCACAGAGAGACCGGCACCCAGGGCTGGGGGCAGCCATGCATGGCCCCTATGCCATTCCCAACCAGCGCTCCTCTTCCAGCACTGGGTGAGCGTTTGGGTTTTTATTGGGACAACGGGAAGGGGACACCCACCCTCGGGGATGATGATGAGCACTGAGGTTGGATATCATCAACCCCAGGGCTTCAAGCCGGGCCAAAGCGGTGTCACAGAGCTCAGGCTGCTACGACAGCGACAGCGCAGAGCCGTGTCCCACCGACGACACCGCCGATGGACATCCCTACGCGGCGCGGGACGGCGGTCGGGGCTCAGGGCTGCGGCGTCAAGCCATCCAAAATTGGCACCGCAGACCCTACCGCAACAGCACGGAGGGCGAGGAGGGCGATGTGTCCGACGTGGGATCCCGCACCACTGAGTCAGAGGCTGAAGGCTGGGAGCCGGAGGTGCCTGGCGTCGCCGCATCCCGGCCCGCTGGCAGCTGTCGGCTGACGGGTGAGAGTGCAGTGGGGGGGCTCAAGGATGGGGAGGATGCATGGGGGGATGGGATGTCACTGTGATGGGCAATGGCAACACGACACGTGGTTTTCGGTTGTCCTTTTCCTCAACTCCACGTGGAGCATCCCTTTGTCGATGGCACTGATGGCCCCTGTCCCACAGCCAGGTCCGAGGGGGCTATGAGCAAGGGGGGCCGGATGGAGAGGGGCAGCCCGGGTCACTGCAGCGAGGTGATCAGCCCTGAGATCCTCAAGATGCGGGCAGCGCTCTTCTGCATCTTCACCTACCTGGACACCAAGACCCTGCTGCGGGCGGCTGAGGTGTGCAAGGACTGGAAGTTTGTGGCCCGGCACCCGGCCGTGTGGACGCGGGTGCTGCTGGAGAATGCCAGGGTCTCCTCCAAGGTATGGGGACAGGGGTGGCACAGTTTGGGGTGAGACCTCAGAGGTCTTTCTTTCAGAAGGACGAAGCCATTCTCCTGGCTTGCATTGTGTGCCCACGTGTGCAGGGTTCCTGGTGTCACCATCAAAGGGACATCAGTACGCACACTGATGGGTGCACTCGTGCATGAGTGTTTGTGGGCATGGGCCCACCTGTCCTCACATTTCCACATTGTACTCACATCCACCCACAGCTCTATGCATAGTTCTGTCCACGCATGCCCTTACGTATGCACTGTCACCAACTTATGGCAGAAACACCCATGTTGTTGTGTGTGCACGTGTGCGCTGCAGGGTGTGCACAAAGGCCCCCCAGATAGCCAAGGGTGGGTGGTTGGGACATCACCGAGGATATCCCCCCGTGACGGCCACCCCTGTCCCCCAGTTCCTGGCCATGCTGTCCCAGTGGTGCACCCAGATGCACTCCCTCACACTCCAAAACCTCAAGCCACGCCAGAGGGGGAAGAAGGAGAGCAAGGAGGACTACATGAAGAGCACACGGTGAGTCCCCGCGGCCCCGGGCACCCCCAGCACCCCTTCAGAGCTGATGATGTCCCGTGAGCACCCATGGCCCCTCTCCACCAGTGGCCATTCACCACCCAACGGCTCCTGCTGAGGGTTTTGGGCACCGACACCAACACCCACAGGTCACATCACTCTCCGTGGATTTCCAGCACCTAATTCTGCCTCTATCCCTGCAGGGGCTGCCTGGAAGCCGGCTTGGAGTCCCTGCTGAAGGCGACGGGCAGCAACCTGCTGATCCTACGCATCTCACACTGCCCCAACGTGCTGACCGACCGCTCGCTCTGGCTGGCCAGCTGCTACTGCCGGGCCCTGCAGGCTGTCACGTACCGGTAAGGATGGCCCACACAGACCCTGCAGTTCCCCACTGGGAGATGACAAGGAGTATCCCTGCAGTGTGCTGGGACCCCTCTGGTGCCCTTCGCTGTGTCAAGCATGACACAGACTCACTTCTCCATGTCTCCAGTCCCAGTGTACTCAAGGAAAAATGAAAGGTGTTCCTATAACCATCACGCTCTTCTCGCACATTCCCATGTAGTCATTCCCCTTGCTGGTCCATTCCCACCATCCCGTTACCCATCTTGCTCACCTGGCCCAGCGGGGGTCTTGGTACAGGGACACTGCTTTGTGTTAGAGATGGGCAAAGGAGAAGAGCATCAAAACTGGGTCCCAGTGTGGCTTCACCTGATGAGGTCACCATCTGACTGTCACCATCTGATGAGGTTTCCTAATGGGGAGTAGAGAACTTTCGGTCCCTCTGTCTGGGGTTGGAAGCAGATGATCTTTAACAGACCTTCAAACCTGAGACATGCTGTGGTTCTATGATAATTCTGTGACTCTGTCCTGAAAAGGAGGATGGCTCTGCTACGGAATCACAAAGACCTGACTTGGAGACCTTGCCCAACAGCAAGGACACAAGGTCCATGGCAGTGCTCAGGTCCTGGAGGATATCGCAGGCTGCTCCTCAGGCTTGGCCACTTCTCAAGGCCTTCCAAGTGTGCTCAGGGGGCTGCCTTGTGTTGAACCAAGTGAGCTTGGCTGCAGCTCTTGTAACCCCACGCTGCGAGACAGCCTGCTGCCGCCAGGTTTAACCCAAAGATTCAGCCATTGCCCTTCCAAAGGCGTTAGAGCGAGTCCAAGCTCCTGGCACATCATTAACCTGTGATTCTGACTCATGCTCTAATTAACCCGTCACACTCACGAGGGGCTCTTGGCAGGCGCCTTCAGTGGGGACGTGTGAAATGGTCACGGTAACACCCACCGCTTATTTTCAGGCTTGTCTGAAGTTTCAAAGTAGGTCATTCCAAGTTAGAAAGCGTGGCCTCTGTCTTCAGGATGGAACAGTAAGGAGAGGCCTGGGTTGGTGATCTCAGGACAGCTGTCTTTGACACTGATCCTCAGTGCCTCTTGTCTTTCTTGACGTTGCACATCTGTAAGCACCATTCCTGATGAAAATGGTTGTGTTTTGGTTATACATAATGACTAGCTCCCAGGGCAGCATCACTGCCAGCTGGGCCCACCAGGTATGTTCTGTGTTCACTCCAGGAGCTCTACAGACCCTGTGGGTCATGAAGTCATCTGGGCCCTCGGGGCAGGCTGCAGGGACATCATCTCTCTCCAGGTTGCACCTCTGCATCCCTGGTAAGAGCCACACTGAGCTACTGGGGTTTGTGCTGAACACGAGGGGATCACTGGGCGGGGGAGAAATTGGGTGCCAGATCCACATTGGCTTGTGGGATCCTTGTGAGTTCAACAGTGATCCTGGAGGTCAGCTGGGGGATCAGGAGCTTAGCCCTATCCCCTGCTGCAAAGATGGGGAGCTGTTGAGTAGAGGCACCTCCTTCCCAAGACAGAAATATTTTGAGGAGACTGAACATTGAACATCAAACATTTTCTTCCTCTCCCCAGCCAGCAGCCAACACGTTTCAGCAACCGCTGCCTTCAGATGATTGGGAGGTGCTGGCCACACCTGCGGGCGCTGGGCATTGGTGGGGCAGGCTGTGGTGTCCAGGGCCTGGCATCCTTAGGTAGGTGGCTCTCCTCCAGTGGGACAGGAGAAGGGAACCTTGCTGAGGGCACTGTATACCCCTGAGAGATGCCCTGTGATGATCTCAACAGGCAAATCCACTCCAGTGACCATGGGTGGACTTTGCTCCTCCCTGCTGCCCCCCATCCCTCCTAGCACCCTACTCCCATCAGCTGTCCCCAGCCCTTCCCCATAGGGTGCCAACAGTGGGTTCTTTGTCCTTCTAGCCCGAAACTGCATGAGGCTGCAGGTCCTGGAGCTGGACCACGTGGCGGAGATCAACCAAGAGGTTGCGGCAGAGATGTGTCGAGAGGGGCTGAAGGGCTTGGAGATGTTGGTGCTGACCTCCACACCCGTCACCCCCAAAGCTCTGCTGCATTTCAACAGTGAGTAGCAGCGCTGGTGGAGGAGGGACACAGCGTTGTCTGCTGACCAAAAGGCCACCAGATAAAAAGATCCAGTGGGGCTTTCCAGCCCTACTGGGAGGAATACGGCATTGACACTGGGAGGTGCTGGGAACTCCGTGATGGAAGGTTTTTAAGGGGAGACTCAACACCCTTCTCTCAGGGATGGGTCAAGAAGAGCTGGGAGAACACCCATGTGGATGGGATAAAGTTTCACAAGGAAGAGGTGGGGCTGATGAAATGAGATAGGACAACTGGAATCCATCATGGAGGTGGGTCAGCCATCCAGAGTAGGTCTACTCTGTCATCAGGATGAGGTTTCCCCAAATATATAACGATGGGTTGGAAGGTAAATCCCAGATGTTGGGGAAGCTGTCCCCACAGTCATGGCAAATCCAGGTTGTGTCTTTGCTCCCAGGTGTGTGCCGGAACCTGAAGTCCATCGTCGTACAGGTGGGCATTGTGGACTACTTCAAGGAGCCCCACAGCCCCGAAGCCAAGAAGATGTTTGAAGAAATGGTGAACAAACTCCAGGTAAAGCACGCCGGTTCCAGGACACTCATGTGCCTGCAGCTCCCTTCCTGTGGGACCCGGGGACAAATTCTTATCCACTGCTGAAGTCACTCCACAGAGAACCTTTTAGCTCACTGGGGATATCTTGAAGACGTGCTCTGCTTCATACACGTCCTGCAGCCAGCTGGGTTCCACAAGGGCACAAGGCCCTAGATGCAGGGCAGGACATGGGGACACGTTCAGCAGCACAGCTAGGTGAGCTGAGATGGTTTATGTGGTCCATGCTCTGCTGAGCCCACATGCAGGAGCAACGGTGAGCAGCAACCCCAACCCACATCCAGCCCCAGCCTCAGGGACACTCTATGGAAAAGGAGTTTTGGGAGGTCCTTCCCTGCCCACCACCACACCATGCAAACCCTGCACATCCATGTCATCTGTCACAAGCTATCAGTGTCCCCTGGAAATGGTTGGACTCGATGTGGTCTTTTCCAACCCTAATGATTCTATGATTCTACGAGGTTCTATGAACGATGTTTTTCACCAAGAAGGAAACAAATCCAGAGTTGGCTTCAAGGGCATGGGGTTAGGAGGCATTGAGGCAGTCCTGTGAGGAACCAGGTCCTCATAGGATGTAGGTGGTGGGGATGGGACCCATTGCCATAGTTGCATGCAAGATGCTCTCCCCTTGCTGGCCCCATAGGACCAGTGCTGGCTCCCACACCAACCCTGCCCTCTGCTCCTCTTCCAGGCCCTGAGGAAAAGACCCGGCTTCTCCAAGATCTTACACATCAAGGTGGAAGGAGGCTGCTAGACCTTCAGGGAACCACAAAGCACATTCCCTCTCTTGCCCTGTGGAGCCAGAGGCCCTGCACAACCAAACCCATCGCTGCTGCTCCTCTGTTGCCGTTGGAGCTCGGAGATGCCAGCCCATGCACAAAACCCCAAACTCTTGCAGGCCTTAGCGAGCAGCCGGCGCTCGCCGCAGGGCCGGCTCATGGACGTGTCACGGACAAGAAGGTGCTACTCATGGAAATTTTCCAGCTGCCCAAAGGGGCAGGTCCATGCTGTTTCCCAGGAGGGAAGATGGCTTCGAAGCTCATGGCTGCTCATTGCCAAGGATCCTTTGTTTGGGAATGCCTTTTTCTTGGAACTCTCTTTTTTGGGGGGGCTGTTTGTTGGCATGGACGCTGAGGATGGCCCAGCCCATCCCATGGGCTCTTTGCAGAGTGCTGTGCTCAGTGCATCACCACTGGAGTGTCCTTGTTCATTCCATGGGCCGGTGGATGTGGGGTGGGAAGGGCCACTCCTGCAGGGCTCCCGTTCACTTTCATTTCATTTATTTGAGAGGAGCACCCAAATGTGGGTAAATGCTGCCCAGAACCAGCAGCTGTCACAGCACAAGCCCAGATGGCAGAGCTGCATCCTGAAGCTGCAGGAGTCAGAAGACACTGGGAACAATGGTTGCTCTCCAGAGATCTCCATCCTCTCCACTCAACCCTTCTGCCAAGGCAATAAATCACCACATCCCACATCCTCCTCCACCAGGAAACACGGATCACTCTCCTGCACCCATCAACATCCACCACTCTGGATCGATGGATCCAGATGGATCCAACTCTCTGGAGTGAGTTGTTGTGTGGAGAGAGGAACTGGCCTGGGCTTCACCTTTGTCACCTCATCGGGCAGCTTGAAGGAGAAACCTTGGCCAAATACTCCTGACATCCAATGCAGCTGGTTGAAGTATCAGCCCAACTGCCCTGGTAGAGCCCATATCGATATCCACAGCTTATTTTATTTCTGGCTTTTCCTTCTGGCTATCTTCTTCCTTCAAGGACGTTACCCCATCTCCCCTCAAACACTCATCTTTTTTTCCAAAGGAAAAAAGGCTCTTGAAAGGCAACCAACAGGGTAAGGTGTCTCCATCCTCTGCCCTGGTGAGAAGATGCCAAAGGTCCCCAGGCCATGGGGAACACTTGTCAGAGCACTGCCAGCAGCACGGACATGTCCTTAACCACAGCTCTCTGCCACCCCACGCCCCAACCAGGTGTGCTCAGAAGCTGAAAGAAACCAACTGGGAAGAGCAGATCTGGGGAGGATTTTCCCCTTCTCCTGGGACACTGCTGAAGGTTTTGGTGCCTGTTGGCTACAGGGCTGCCCATGGTGCATGCACGGCTGGGAGGAGCCAGCTCTTCCCAGAGCATCTCCCCATCCTGCTGGGTGATGGGCTGCCGTGGAGCATCTATAGACTCATTTTGGTACCACCATCCTCAACCACATCATGAAAGCATCAGATTTCAGCCTGGAGCTCCCACCATGCTGGGAATCAATAGGAACCTTGAAAACACCCAAATCACCGAGGCTGGTGGTGGGCTGGGGGCAGCTGTTGTCTCTCCAACCCCAGAAAACCATTCCACCCACTCCTCACCCCATCCACGTTGTCCCCCCACCAAAGCAGGGTAGGGTTGCATGCCTTTTTTTGGCTGTAACCCCTGATTTGAAGCACCTGAAGTCCCCCACTGACAGCGGCCTTCCAGGAGAAGGCTGCTCCCTCTACGCACCAAACTCGGGAACCCAAAAACTGCCTGTGAGAAACTACCACGTCCTAGGGATAAGATCCACCAGGGGTTACCTCCACCCCAGGGAGGCCTGGACACACATATTCCAGGGGCAGAAGAAGCAAGGGATGTCTCGACCAGCAAAAAAAACACCAACCACCAAAGCTTTGGCCCTGTGTGCCACTTTGTCACCATCCCACGAGCGTGGCCCCGGTGGAGGCCATTGGAAGCGGCCCAGAGACTCTGTGAAATCCCCTTCAAAAGAAACAAAGTAAGTATTTATTTCTATACAAAACAAAGAAGAAGAAAAGAAAAAAAAGATTTTAAAGGAAAACGATATACTCCGCATGTTTATACACTCTATGCTTTAAGACTATCCCATGGGAGAGCCGTGTCTGAAGACTGCAGCCACGGAGCATCACAGGGTGACACGGCCACGTGGGATGTCCCCATCCCCCATCTCCACGAGGGTTTTGTCACAACAGAACAACCTCACCCCACATCAGTGCTGAGATCAGACCAAGCCATCCGCCTCCCCTCGGTACCTTCCCAAAAAAGTCAGATTTCTGGCTTTGCAAAGCCACGTTTTTACCAAAATCCCGTGTCACAGGAGGATCTGAGCAAGTTCAAGGCTCTGAAGATGGGAAATGAGCTTTTTCTCCACCTTTCTCAGTGCCTGGGTTTGGTTGTCTCCCTTCCTCCTCCTCCTCTTCCTCAGCTGGGGATGGAGGTATCTGACACAGTGACAGTGGTGGTAATGAGCCCTGTGTCCCTCCAGCCCTCCCAGTGTCCCCTCATTGCCCAGGTTGGTAATGGCAATTAGCTCGTTAACGGCTCTGTACTCCTTCCACTCATTGGTTCCCTCCCCATCCCACCAGCGTGGCCCCACTGGGTGCCCATGGCCATGGTTTTCACCACCACAGCATCAGCTCAACCCCACACCAGACCCCAGAGAAGCCCCTCGGGGGCTCTGCGATGACAATCCCCAGCAAATCCAGGGGTCCCACGGTGAAGAAAGGCAGTGATAAGCTTTAGCTTGGGATCCTGGCAGCTTCCCACAGTTTGGAGGAGCTCTTTCTTTTCTTGCCCAAAGTTCTTCCATAGCCAATGTTAGCAGCATTCTCCTTCTCCTGAACTTTGGGGCTGGACAGGGGTCTCAAGAGGAACAACACCAGCAAAGCTTGGGGGCCAAATCCATCCCAAATCCATGTTTTTCTGCCTCTCTCGTGTGTTGGGTTTTGTGTGCACCCATCAAGGAAGGTGGCACAGAGCCCTGGCTGGGGTTGGCTCCATCCAAGGATTTCAATGGTCAAGCAAACAAGGCAGGTGGCAAGAGAAAAATATCCAAAAGGTCAACAGGGCTCACAAGTCAGAAGGCACAGGACTTACGTGGCCAAAAAGGTCTGAATTCAGTTTAAAAACAAAACGAAACAAGAAACAAAAAGAGCCACGAGAAATGTTGATAAAGGCTCCTCTCAAAGCAGTTCTTTCAGCTCTAAGAGGAGCCAAGATGAAGCTGGCAGCGTGGGAGTTGGCACATGGCTTCTTCCTATCATTTTGGGTTGAAAACCTGCAGGTTCAGGTGGAGTAAAGCATTTGGGAGCCGGTGCCAAATGACAAAATGCTTTAAAAAGAATTGAGGAACGGGGAGCAGGGTGACATTAGCAGCTGGAAATGGCCTGTCGCAACCAAAGCGCAGCAGGATGGTGGCACAAAGGAGAGCAGTGGCAATGAGCGACTGCCCCACGGCAGCAAAGAGATGGGAGAACTGCCCAAAAACAGAAAGATGGGGCTTTCTGATCCAGCCCCAGGCTGGGGCCGGGGACAGGCATGTGCAATGGTAGGGGTGGGTGGAATTGCTCCAGGGTGCGAGCGCAGCAACGCACATTGCTTTGAGATAATCAGAGATAATCAGAGAACACGCTCCCCAATGGACAGCTATCCAGAATGGCAATCGTTTCCCTCAAGCACTTCTCCTGGTGGCAGCTCAGCCCCAGAGAGCCGTGTCTGAGGCGCCCTGTACAGCCTGCCCCCTCTTGGAAGGTAGCGAGTTGGCCTCCTAAGTTATTTTTTTAACTCTATAGAAATCTAGGTCTATTTTAGTCTTTCGCAGCGATGTGCCAGTGTCTGGAGAACCAAACGTCCCTACCCCCCATCCCACGGTCACCCTGACCCCAATGCTCAGCGTGCTGGAGAAGGGGACACGGGGGTGGCCTTGGGGGCAGCAGAGGTGTCCCCAAGGAGCTGCTGCCCACCCGTGGTTTTAGCACTTTGGTTGGTACTATCACCTGTAGACGCACTTTGATGTTGTTGCTTTGAAACTTTGCCGAGTGTAAACAATGTGTATTTAAAGAATTACAGGAAAAAAAAAAGGAAAAAAAAAAAAGGTGTAAAGAGCTTTTTTATGATTCAGTGTTGAATAAAGGCTCTCAAGAACGAGGTGGGGGTCTTGGCTCACACAGGTGGCACAGCGAGCACAGGTCAGTGCTTGCCCTGAGTGCTCAGCAAGAAACCAGTGGCACCAGTCACCCACTCAGGGCTTACTGGAGGCAGAGTCCTCCTCCTAATTTCCATTCTCTTGAGGGCACCACCTCCACTCCCCAGCTCACGAAGCGAGTTGAAATATCACTGAGCAGCATCAAATAAATGCTAGTTATAAATGGCAAGGTTGTGGGAGGTGGGGATGGCCTCTTCTCCCAACAGGCAATGGGGTTAAGTTGCACCAGGGGGCATTCAGGTTGGAATTAGGAAACTTCTCTGAACAAGCAGTCAGGTACTGGCACAGGATGATGCTCAGGGAGCAGGGGGGGTCACTGTCCATACAGGTGCTCCAGAACCATGGGGATGTGGCACTTGGGGACACGGTCAGAGGGCACAGGGGGTGGGTTGGGAATCTTAAGAGGTCTTTTCCAACTTGAATGATTCAGTGACTCTATAACAAATGTAGAGATGAAGCACTGTCACGCACTGGAATCAGTCCTACTTCCCAGTACCGTGAGTTTTAAGAACAGGACAGAAAACAGTTTGCAAGCTACCCGAACCACAAGCTGTTACCTCAGAAAAGAAGCCAAGCTGGCCACCAAAACTCTGCCATTGTTTTATTGTGTTTGAACCTGGGTTCAAAACCCCCAGCAGAAAGACATATAAATATCAACCAACCGCAGGCACACCCACCAGCGTCGGAGAGGGCTCTGCTCAGCACGAGGTGAGCCTACAGGCATCAGTGCCGTGCACGAAGGGCTGGGCCACAACACCT